GGAAAATGTGGACTAGGGTTTCTCAGGAACTAGGTCTAGTCAGCTTAGTTATTTAATTAATAGAAAAATCGGTATGTGTTCCTAAACCAGCAAAATATAACTAGATATTAACATTTATAGGTAATAACTTGGGGTGCAGCGATACCGGTTTTTCAGTATCGAGTACGGATATTTTTACATCGGTACTCACTGATATTGAATACCAAAGTCCCATGAAGGAAGCCGGGCAGTGTGTAATGACTTGCCACCCAGCTTCTCGATTAGCAGGGAAGCAGTGTCCATGTTCCCCCATCACCAGGTGACGAGGGAGCATGGAGTCGGCTTTATGGCCAATCAGGAAGCCGGGGGGCCCGTAATGACTTGCTGCCTTGCTTCCAGATTGGCCAGCTTCCCGATCAATCAGGAAATTGGGCGGAGGGTCATTACATGCTGCCCGGCTTTCTGATTGGCCCGGGAAGCCAGCTCCATGGTGACAAGGGAGATGGGAGCCGGCTTCCCGGCCAAATCAGGAAGCCGGGCAGTGTGTAATGACTCGCTGCCCGGCTTTCTGATACCGGACGTTCCAGTATCAGGCTAGGCATCCAGAGCATTAGGGACAGTACGAGTAGTCACCCAAATACTCTGTATCGGCGCATCCCTAGTAATAACCCCATAATTCAAGTAAGAGGGGAGGTGATGGTGTGACCAGGTTTCATGTTAACCCAGAATGTGGGTGTAACATGAAACATGGTCTAATATGGGCACTAAAATACTTTGAGGCAAAGGCATGATGGGATTTGTAGTTTTACCACTGCTGCTTAGGCCCTTTTAACACTGGCAGTCCGCTCGGATCCGCCTACCAGTTTTCCGTTTCTCCGGACGTGATTGTGCCGGTAGGGAGATAATCTGACAAAAACAGACATGTCTGTTTACATCCGATTCCCAGTAGACCAACTTGGGGTCCGGTCATTTCAGTTTTTTCTTGATGGACCAAAAAATGTCCCCTATCACTTCCCTCAGCATTGTTTTGGTTTATGTGTAAAAGTAATACATAAAAGCCCCAACACGTCAAGAAAGAAAAACAGTTACTACAATAATTGGGAAGATCTGCGATGAGCACACATTTTATAAAAGCCCCGTTACCACCAATCTTGGGAAAGTCACACAAACTTTACAAAGGGCACAGAGAACAAACTCCCAATGCTATCCTGTGTAGGATGGATGTAGTAAGAGTTGATGTAAAGAAATAGAAGCATTGCTTATCCAGGAGTGTAAGAAAAATCTCAGAGAGGCCCAATGTAACATCTTGTATACAAGTACAGCTCAGGAACACTAGGTTCAGTTACTTCTGCACAGTCTACATTTCTTGATGACAGCGCAAAGCAGTGACCTAATTATCTGTGACGCAGTACTCTTGGCAAGCAACTAAATACTCCGGTGAAACAGATATGTAGAAGCCATGTTACCCGTCAAAGGATTTCTAGTTCTGTTCATGCCCTCTTGAGATTTACTCGACAATGCTGCACAACATAGCCAGGTCCTCGACCCCACTTTTCTGCAATGTGATTATACAGCTTTGGCAAGGACATGCTGCAACCTGCACCTATGTAATAAAAGGAGTAACAGCACTCCGACATGGTCTGCTCCATCTCTGACAACACTGTACAGTGGCAGTCTAGCTTATAATGCTTCGCCTCCCTCTCCCAGTGTGTGTTCTGCTGTACAGGGGTTTACTGGACAATAATATAAAGACAGACTGAGTTACTATCTAAAGATTGAGGTATAGATATTTTAATGACTACATTGTGTAAACATGGATCTTTTATGACTGCCTACAGTTCTGCTTTACCCTAGGCAACTATTTTTGTCTGACAAATGCAAAACTAACACTGAACTCCATCCGCATGGGAGGAAACCAAGTAGATGGTGTAAAGGGAACATGTACTTATAGAAATGTAGGGGTGTACTGTACGTCTATGAAGGATTTCATATATCCAGGTCATGGTATTGTTAGTAGTTTTCAGTCACATTCAGCTGGACTTGTTCTGTAATGTTGAAGATGTTTCGTATCTTCACCAAATCACTTGTTCAGTTCTGATGAGAGTCAGGAAGATCTCCTAACGTTTATGGATAAAAGGTGTCTGCCCTACTTGGATTGATGTACATGTTGGGGGATCGTCCTGACACGCAACACAGGTAGGGCTGACACCATTCTCCATGAATGTGGACAGAACGGAATCAGCGTCTTGGAGAAGCTACGAAATATCTTCAACATTACAGAACAAGTCCAGTTGGCTACGAGTAACCCCAACTGGGGGATCTTACCGACACACAACACAGGTACGACTAACCCCTGGCTGGCTGTCTTCAACCACAATACATTTTGACCTACTCACCCAGACTAAACATGCAGGAAGTGAAGTCAGATTAAGGAGCTCCTGTCTGAATACAGGTTTTGGCCCGGTGACTCAGTAGGAATCCTTTTGATCAGCACAACAGCCAGGAAATTGGCACTCAATCCAACAGGTTAGCAACAGCCTCCTTCTCAGGCATATTTTCTCAGTACAAGTTTCCTTTACCAGTATGCCTAAATCTGAAGAGACGCCATGTAAAAACTGTTCACATTTCAGTGTAACTGCTCACCCATTTTGTAGTTTGTCATGCCTCCAAAACCCCCGGTCACACGACTACCGATTCCCAATTCAGCAAGATATGGCCAACAAATGTGCAAAGCCGCTTCTCTTCTGAGCAGGGCCTGCTCATGTTCTGTGTGCTTTCCATTTAACCTTATTTATATAGCACTGACAATTTATATAGCACTTTGCATAGTTGCACATTCACATAATTTCTTGTCCTTGATGAGCTTACAATCTAAGGTCTCTATCTCGCATGCATACAGAGCTGATTTAGACATGAGCCAATTAACCTTCCAGCATGTCTTTGGAGTGTGGGTGGAGACCGGAGTACCTGGAGGAAACCCACACAAGCACAAGTAGAACATGCAAACTCCTTGTAGATAGTGACCTGACCGGGATTTGAACTGGGAACCCCCAGTTCATATTCCATGCTCCAACAAACTCTCCACGGGATTCATTGGAGAGTGCACAGATTACGTCCCCAAGAGAAATGAAGATGACACCTGATGGGTTGTTAAAGCCGAACTCCAGACATATATACTTTCATTAAATATCTTCCCTTAATAACCAAAGGGGATATAAATCCACTTTGTGTGCCATATACCATTACAAACCAAGATATTACTATAGGAAAGTAGCAGTGACAACATCACTGTGCTGTACATAGCCTGTACACAGAGCAGAGCTATGGGAGGGGCCCAGCAGCCCCACCAATTACAGGCTGCCTGCAGTGAAAGGGGCGGATACAAGGGGAGAGAGGAGGGGGACAGAAAACACAGCAGTGACTGGTCTTTATTATAGGAAGCTCCTGCACAGAGGTAAAGTTCAACATTGGATTACTGCACAGATCTGGAAGAAATACACTGGTCTGTAAAGGGGCCTGTAACAACACTGAGCTCTGAGGGCTAGTTCACACCAGCCACGGTGCCTTCTAGCCCGATTGGTACCGAAAACGCACTGGATTGTATTCCGGGCGACTCACTTTGTTTTTGGGTGGCAGGGGGCGTGACGGCGCAGTGAAGTCAATGGCACCACAGCCATGCTCCCTCCAGCTGCGATGCAATCGCCCGCACCGGAAAGCGTGGCCCATCAATGCCTGCGTTCCGGCCCGGTGCAGTCAGAAAAAATAGTGCATGCAGCATTTTTCTGACTGCACCGGAACGCAGGCATTGATGTGCCACATGTTCCGGTGGGGGATTGCATTGCGGCGGGAGGGCGTGGCTTCAGTGCCATTCACTTCAATGCACCATCATGCCCCTTGCCACCCCCAAAACAAAGTGAGCCGCCCGGAATACAATCCAGTGCGGTCCGGCACCAATCGGGTGTGAACTAGGCCTAACAGTTTCATGTACCATGTCCCCATGCTCTGACTGTCTCCTACAGCAAGACTTCAGCCTCCACCCACTCCTGTAGAACATGTAAGGCATATTAGATGTGGCCCTTTGAAGACACCAGGGGCATCTTTAGACCCCCCCTTCACCTTGTACCAGTGACAAACACTGATTTAGACAACATTGGTTTATCCTACAGTTCAGCTTTTAGCAAGTATACAAGCCAGCTACCTATATTGTACAAAAGACGTTTGTTCCAATGAAATATAACAATTGTATTATAGATCGTGAAGACAATATTATTGTTTACGCATGAAGAGGAAATAAAAATACATGAAGTGTCACACAAGTGTCCTGACTGATCCCATAATTACTGACTAAAGCCAAAACATTCCAGGCAATTACATGTGTCATGGACCTGCAGACATGTCACTGAGCAGGTAGAGGAAGGATCTATGGAAGTGTCTACACTGCAAGCAGAGAATCACTGTCTGTCCGCACTACAGAACAACCAATTTCAGAGTGTTAGGCTGGCCTTACACTATACAATCTGATTGTACACACTCTTTCAGATTTACCAAAGTTTGCCATACACATTACGATCTGTAAAATGAACTCTGGATCTACCAAAGCTATGCAATATGTGGATCTACCTGAACTATCAGCCAGGCCCATGTATTCCATACTGACTGGTATAATGAGATTATAACGTGTGTGTGTGTGTTTATGAGGACAAACAATGTGATCCATTTGTATAAAGCAGACCCTTTCACTACACAGTTGATGGCATGTCTACAGGTGATCGTACAATCTGCTGCAGATCTACCTTTAACTATATAGTCCGAGGGCCAGCCTGATTTGATTGGTTGTTCAGGTGTGCCTTCCTATTACATGGTTGGTATATCTGAAGTGGATTGTACCACCAGATTGTATGGTGTATGGCCACCTTAGAAAGCTTGGATGTGTTGCTCTCCTCTCTGATAAATGAGGGGTCCCTGAACACAATGGCAGCTATCCAGTCACGTCCATGGCAGAGCCCCCCTACATATCTTACCCTTGGCCTCGCAGTCAGCGCAGTACTTGTTGTCCTCCTCCCTCAGCATGCGAGACAGGATGGCCTGGTGCTGCTCATTCAGCTTCTGGGCCTTCTCCCTCTCTGAGCGGGTTGTCATGTTTGCCGGCAGGGAAGCAGTGTAGGTGTGACGGCAGCTGTAGGAGAGATTGTCCCGGTCACACAGCAGTCACACACAGCCTGGAAAGATGAGAGCGCCCTATCTGCTGCCAGTCAGCTGAGCACAGCCCCCGCTCACTCTCCTGTCTCACTGCTCTCTTCCACACGCCACTTCCGGGAACCTCACACCGTGACGACACCTTCCTCCACGTTTCACCAATCACTGCCCGTCCGGCTTGCTGATTTTCCTCTCATCGGCCCTAGTCACGCCTCTTCCTGTGTGGAGCACGCCCACGTTCTCGCCGGGTAATGCATGACTGTGACAGGTATAGTGGGCGGGTTCTACAGCTTTACGCTATTAGGTGTTTGAGGAGGGCGTGGCGTGAGGGCACGCCACCTGCTTGACGTAAACAGGAGGAGGATCGGTCTTCGTGGCCGCCGGTGATGTGACGTCATGAATTCAGCGAAATGTGAGGCTTCTGGGTCTCACAGTTTCTGTGGTCACTTAAAGGGAACAACTTGCCACCGGTGTAAATGTATACACACCTGTAAGTATATTTAAAGTGTATGTGTGTGTAAACATATATAATGTCACTTTATTTTTACACTTAATGTTATTGCGATCGCATAGCCCCCTATGTGTAGCAAAGAAAAAAATGACAGGTCCTCTTTATGGAGACATCAGGGGTCTATTAGAACACTAATATCACCTATGGACCCCCTAGAAGCTGATGAAGCATAGATCATATGTCATCAGCTTCTTCTCTGGCCACAGCAGCCAGAGACATGACACATTGAAACTAGAAATGCGGAAATACACGCTACTTCCGGGCTCAGTAATTGGAGGGGAGATCATCAGCTGGAAGTGTGCCGATCTCCCTCCAGAGCAGCCAGTAAAAACCACTGTGCCAGTCCCAGCATGAGGAACAGCAGAGACCAGGATAGCTGGCACCGGTGGAAGGGAGAGGGGGGTGTACACACTCTGAAGCTGTGTACAAGTGGTCAGACAGATGACAACTTGTATGTGCAACGGGCTAAAGAGGTCAGTACCAAGATCACGGCTGCCGCTGCTGTGATCTTAGTATTAACTACTTCATTACTCATTGTTTATATACGTACATCAATACTGAAGTGGCTAACATGTACTTTCCCCTTTGCAGCCCATACCTAACCTTTCCTAACATATCCCTTACTTTTCTAGGACACTATAGGCAAAAGTGTTCAGAATAACTGGCAGAACAATACACTATACGGACAGGATTTGGGGTTCCAGTTCACTAAAAGGATGTTGTGGAATGAAGAGAGTGCAGAAAAGGACAATTAAACTCATAAGAAGCATGGAGGAGCTCAGCTATGAGGAAAGATTAGCAGACTAGAATCTGTTCGCTCTGGAGAAGAGGAGATTAAGGGGGGACATGATCACCGTGTATAAATACATAAATGGTCCATATAGTGAGCTTTGTGCCAAATTATTAACTTTAAGGTCACTGCAAAGGACAAGGGGGCACTCTTTGCATCTGGAGGAAAGGAGGTTTAACCTTTGTATACGGAAAGGATTCTTCACAGTTAGAGCTGTGACAATGTGGAATAGACTCCCCCAGGAGCTAGTTCTAGCTAGCTCAGGTAACTGTTCAAAAAAAAATCTGGATGTATTCCTAAATTGGAAGAATATAGCTGGAAATAGGTAATAACCTCAAGATTCAGGTAAGTGTGTGTGTGTGTGTGTGGGAGGGGGGG